GAATTTGTTTCTTACTATTTAGAGTAGGTAGGGTTTCTTTATTGTTGATAATTATATTACATTGGTAAGTCTTTTTGGCAAGGGCTTATGTTTATTCACTATAGTATTTGACTATATTTAAACTTCGGGTGTTTTCAGATTACCTTTTACCATTAAGATTCATTCTGAAAGATCTTCTCTTTTTATTTTACTGGAGGACTAAGATTATTTTTGGAATCTTGAGTTTTAAGGCTTTTTTTTTGTCTCCACAGTAGTAAATGGTACTAGTTTACTGTTTTTCAAGTTATCTTAAGATTTGTTTTTAGTAACTTATGACAAATAGTACCTATTTTCAGTGAGGCTACTTCTAGAATTCACTAGAATGCTCCTTGGAGGGCAGGAATATATGTTCTTGTGCACTGCTGTAGCCCTAGGACCTAGAGCAGTAGCTGGCACGTGGTAAGGGTTCAGTGAATACTTGCTGAGTGAATGTGTAAATGTATTTTATGGAACTTACCAGTATTCTTTATGATACAGTGATAGACTTCTTTTTTTTTTTTTTTTTTAAAGATTTTTTTTTTTTATTTGACAGAGAGAGAGACAGCTAGAGAGGAAACACAAGCAGGAGGAGTGGGAGAGGGAGAAGCAGGCTTCCTGCCGAGCAGGGAGTCCAATGCGGGGCTCGATCCCAGGACCCTGGGATCATGACCCGAGCCAAAGGCAGACGCTCAACGACTGAGCCACCCAGGCACCCCCAGTGATAGACTTCTTAACTTCAAGTTTTACGTGTCATCCTTTTTTTCTTTAAAAAAGATTTATTTTAGAAAGAGAGAGAATGCACACGAGTGGGGGGAGGGGCAGAGGGAGAGAATCTTATGCAGGGTCCCTGCAGGAGCCTGACTTGGGGCTGGATCTCATGACCCATGAGATCATGACCTGTGCCAAACCAAGAGTCAGACCCCCAACTGACTGAGCCACCCAGGCGCTCCTCTTTCATCCTTTTATTGACTAATCAGTTTAGTGGTTTTTAAACATTCTGTTAACAGGGTAAACCAAGAAAAGATGATATATAGTCAATAGATTTTTTTTAATTATTATTATTTTTTTTGAGGCATCAGTTCTTTTTAAAATTTTTGAGAGGGTAAATTTAACAAACGTGTTAGCCTGTGATTTCGGTCATACATTTTTAAAATTTATTTTTACTGTCTTGTCTGTGTAATTGTTTTTAGGAATAATAAAAGGGACATATTTCTTCCGTATCTCTTAAGCATGCTCAAAAGGAAATGATACATTAAAGCTTAGTAATTAAAATTTTTTATGTGTTCATTTATTGAACAAATATTTTGAGTGCCTACTACAGGCCAGGCATTATTCTATGTCCTGGAATACTGTTCTATGTTTTGAGGAAAAAATAAAAAACAGACAAAACTTCCTTCCTTATGGAACTTATATTTTCTTAGAGGAGATAGAGAAATAAGACAAGTAAAATATAGAAGAAAAATCGATTTCTCTAACAGGGTGGATTCTTTTAAGTTATTTGTATAGGTTGGACCTTTTAAAAGTAATCAATTTATTAAGTACCGCTTTGGCATTGTTAGGGGAATGAGAAGCCACATGTGAGAGCCTAAAATGGGGTAAGACACTTTGGTAGGAGCAGTTTGGTAAACAGGTGGAATTTATAGTGAGTGCTCTCAAGACTTACACAAGAAATGCAGTGCAAATGCAGGTGTAAGGATAACCACCTGTAGTGTCAACAGTATTTTTTAGGAGTTCAGAAAACTTGGGGTTTCTTGAGTGCTGGCCCAGTCCAGGCAGAGAACAGGTAGAAGGAACAAAGGTATAGATATGCTAAACAACATACATACTTGGAATAGTGACCCTTTTGGTATGGTAGAAACAGGAAGAGTGTGTGTGTGTGGTGTGCTGGGGGGACTATACGGTATATCAGGAGCAGAGGTAGGAAAAGTAAATTGAAGGTGGGTTGTATGCAACAGATTCTAGATGGTTCTATAGGTAAATGGAGAACTGCAGGTGACTTTTTTTTTAAGGTTTTATTTATTTATTTGAGAGAGAGAGGGGCAGACGGAGAGAATCTTCAAGAAGACTACCTGCTGAGCGCGGAGCCTGACTCAGGGCTCGATCTCACCACCCATGAGATCATGACCTGGGTTGAAACCAAGAGTCTGGTGCTTAACTGACTGAGCCATCTAGGCGCCCCCACAGATGACTTTTAGGACAGTAGCATGATTCCATTTCTTGTTGAGAAAATTAAGTGACTATGGGAGGATGGGTTGGAGAGTATAGCACAGAGGTGCAGGAAGACCTTTTTAGAGCATCCAAAATATAGTCCGGGGCAAGACCACCATTGTGCTTGTTTAGGGGGTACCATTATTCCTGTAATCACTGTGAAGGGTCCCTCCTGAAGCACAATCCTTAGTATATAGTGTGAATGGAGTCGTGCCATGAGGCAGCTTTGTCACCAATAGAGAGATGAGGGGGCCTTAAGTTGGAAGGTACTGAAAGGTGAAGAAGAGTGCAAGAGAATTTTGTAATTGATAAGATTGGTAACCTACGGGGGATGGGAGTTTTGTGGAATAATAATCATTATAGATGGTTTGAAGTTTAAGGCTGATCTTCACATTAGGTGTCCACTGTTTTTCCACCTTCAATCTGCTTTTCACAAATTGCTTCATTCCCTCATTGAGCCTACCTTAAACATCTTTACTCATAATGTGAGCTTTGTTATCTGTTTTGGACTATGTGTCTAAGCTTATTAGAAGTATTTCTGAAACAAAGGAATTTTTCCTGTGGGGTACTTTGAGTAAAGGGTATGTAGGCTAAAGTATAGGGGTCTTGATATCTGTCAAACTTACACATTATGTCCTAGAATTAACTTTCCAGATAAATTATCTTTTTTTTTTTTTTTTTAATATTTTTATTTATTTGACAGAGAGAGACACAGCGAGAGAGGGAACACAAGCAGGGGGAGTGGGAGAGGGAGAAGCAGGCTTCCCGCCGAGCAGGGAGCCCGATGTGGGACTCGATCCCAGGACTCTGGGATCATGACCTGAGCCGAAGGCAGACGCTTAACGTCTGAGCCACCCAGGCGCCCCTTCCAGATAAATTATCTTATGGTATATTAACTTTTATATTATTTTACAATATTTAATTATAACTATTTGGCCCTGTGGTTTTATTTATTTATTTTATTAACATAATGTATTGTTTCAGGGTACATGTCTGTGATTCGTCAGTCTTACACAATTCACAGCGCTCACCATAGTATTTACCCTCCCCAATGTTCCATCACCCAGCCACCCCATCCCTCCCACCCGCCTCCACTCCAGCAACCCTCAGTTTGTTTCCTGAGATGAAGAGTCTCTTACGGTTTGTCTCCCCCCTCCGGTTTTGTCTTGTTTCATTTTCCCTTCCCTTCCCCTGTGATTTTCTGTCTTGTTTCTCAAATTCCTCATATCAGTGAGATCCAATGATAATTGTCTTTCTCTGATTGACTTATTTCGCTTAGCATATAATACCCTCTAGTTCCATCCATGTCATTGCAAATGGCACGGTTTCATTTTTTTGATGGCTGCATAATGTTCTATTATATATATATACACCACATCTTTATCCATTCATCTGTTGATGGACATCTAGGCTCTTTCCATAGTTTGGCTATTATAGACATTGCTGCTATAAACATTGGGGTGCACGTGCACCTTCGGTTCACTATGTTTGTATCTTTGGGGTAAATACCCAGTAGTGTAATTGCTGGGTCGTAGGGTAGCTCTGTTTTCAACTTTTTGAGGAACCGCCATACTGTTTTCCAGAGTGGCTGCACCAGCTTACATTCCCACCGGCCCTGTGGTTTTAGTTAGAACATTTTATTATGGAAATTTTAACTTACCCAAAGATGGGATAGTATGATGAACCCCAATATATGTATCAACATTTTGTTGGTCTTGTTTCATCTGTATACCTCCCTGCCCTTTTATTTTTTGCTGGAATATTTTAAAGCATATGCCAGGTTTATTTTTTCACCGTAAATACTTGACTGTTTAACAGTTAAGAACTCTGTTATTGTTAGTATTACCCACAATACTGTTATCACACCAAGCAATCATTTTTACTGTGATTTAGTACTGCCTAGTAAAATACCATGTCTGGGTTCAGATTTCCCTTTTGGTTTTGAAAAAAAGCCTTTTTTTTTTTTTTTAACTAATTGGATTATTTGAATCAGGTTCCAAGCAAGTGTTGTGGTTATTTTTAAACTTGATATTTTTTAAAGAGAAAATTAAGGCAGTGTGAAAACATTTTAGTATAAGCTATTCTAAGAGAGCATTGCTTTTCTGACAGCCATTCTTTCTGGAACTTCATTTTGCTTATCTGTACGAGGAGATGTCACAATAGCTGGTATCTACTTTTTAGGATTTTTAAACATAGGAAATCTTCAATATGGGAAAGTGGGTATGACCTCACCTATCTAGAAGCCTGAAGAGTAAAAAATGTGAGATTTGAGAAGGTTCGGTTTGTAGGAGACTGCAGCTCTAAGACAAAGCACCTCAGATGGGACTTGGGATTGCTTTTGTAACTATTTGTGTAATGTTACCATGTATTTTATCTTGCTGGACTTACCTGCCTCACCTGTAAAATAAAGAATGGGTGATTTCTTACACTTCTCCTTAGTTCTTAATTTTTTGTCTTATTTTACATTTATGCTTGACTTTGACAGGATTCCCAAAGTTGGATTGGTGGAAACAATGAACCATTGACTGGCTTTACATGGCGAGGTGGTTGTGAAAGAGAAACAACAGGCATACAAGTCTGGAATGAAGTATTTGTAATCGACAGACCTAATGGAACGAAAGTAAAATTCTGTTTATACTTTCTTACTGTTTTTTTTTCTTCCATATTCTTTTTTGAGCTATTTCCTGGTATTAAAGAGCAAAATAACACAGAACTATTAATGTCTGATAACTTCAACATAACATATATGGGTTATTATGTCAAAATGTGTGAGATATTTAGCTTAGAGTACTTTTCTTGACTTAGTTACTGATTTTGACATTTATCATTTTAAATTTTGTTTTAATAGTCACTATTGGTGAATATTATACTTAGTACTTTAAACTTTTAAATTCCTAGGTGGCTGTGCTGCTAATGGATACCCAGGGTGCCTTTGATAGCCAGTCAACTATCAAAGACTGTGCAACGGTGTTCGCTCTGAGCACCATGACTAGCTCTGTCCAGGTGAGACATGAAATGCTGTGGTCTGATCAGTTCAGATAATCCTAATACCTTTGCTCTTTCTTAAAATGCTTTTTGAAAACAAAACAGGTAACATAGGGTAAAGGGAGGGGAAGGAAGCAAACAATGGTAAAAGACTCAACTATAGAAAACAAACTGAGGGTTGCTGGAGGGGAGGGGTGGGGGATGGGCTAAATAGGTGATGGAGATTAAGAAGGGCACTTGTTGAGGACTGGGTGTTACATATAAATGATGAATCACTAAATTCTCTTGAAATCAATATTATACTGTATGTTAACTTACTAGAATTTAAATAAAAATTTGAAAAAGAAAAAGAAGGGGTGCCTGGGTGGCTCAGTCATTAAGCGTCTGCCTTCAGCTCAGGTCATGATCCCAGAGTCCTGGGATCCAGCCCCGCGTCGGGCTCCCTGCTCAGCGGGAAGCCTGGTTCTCCTTCTCCCACTCCCCCTGCTTGTGTTCCCTCTCTCGCTGTCTCTCTCTCTGTCAAATCTTTAAAAAAAAAAAAAAAGATGCACATTGAAAACAGTCTTTTGATTAAAGAAAAAAGGATTAAAATTAGAGTTATTTACATTTCTTACTGGTCATTTATATTTCCATGCTTTTCTGGTTCACAATGTGAAATTTCATACTTCAGTAATAAACCAATAGCCAATCCCTTTGGTTTTTCATTATAGCACCTACACTTTTTTTTTTTTTTAAGATTTGTTCATTTATTTGAAAGCAAGAGAGAAAGCACATGAAAGTGGGGAGGGGCAGGGGGAGAGACAGAATCTCAAGCAGACTGCGCTGAGCACAGAGCCCGACATGGGGCTTGATCTCATAACCCCAAGATCCATTACCTGAGCTGACGTGAAGAGTTGGAGGCTTAACTCACTGAGGACCCCTGTGCTTTTTTTCTTTTTTTTTTAAAGGAGAAGATATTGCATGTCATCTTTAATTGAATTCAGTCATACGGTTCCCAGATATATTAAGGTGTAGAGTAGGTCTTTTATGTTTTGGTTAAACCAATAAAGAAAAATTAAACTTAGTTTTTAAAGTAATTAAACTTAGTTTTCTACTTGATATGTATGACATCTAGTACTTTATTATTTGAACTAATGGTGGTAGAGGTGGAAGAATTAATTCATATTTAACTTAGGAAATGTATGTGCTATTTCTGTAATACACTAAGGACTTAAAGGAACTGTTTAGTAAAATCCCTTCTGTTTTTCACTTAACTTTGTACTCTAATTGTGTTTGGTATTATATCAAGTTCTAATCACTTCAAGCTAGTCCATCTCTTTTCTGTATAATTTAGGCTGATAGACTGAATTAAACCACCACATGTCATTTTGTATCTCTTTACTTTCTTTTTCCTGAGATCATCTGTGGTTGATGCTTCTCTGGCTGAAGAATTTATTGAGTGTGTTGGTTAGCGCTAGCTGGTGATGATGTACCCAGAAGTATATATGTGAATAGAAGAAGTATGTGCTCCTTCTGAGATGATGTTTCTTATTGATAGTAGATCATAGGTGATAATTGTCACAGTGTCTTGGAATTTTTGTATTGCTTTCTGGTAATATCTGGAACATACGTCCAGTCTTGATACAAGTTCCATTTCCTTCCTTCCTCAATTTGAAGTATCTAGCTGTCAGAATGGAAAGGAATTGGGACATTATTATGAGATAAAAAAGGAGTACTTTTCAGCTTGGCTTTTGTTTTTTGTAGGGCTGGGGAGCTCTGGACTACCAGTTGAGTGATGCTTTGGGGACCCTTCCAGTCTCTTTTCTCCATTTCGTTCTACCTTTTCCCTCTGATCTTGCAAGGTGGCACTGCTGCCGTTCCCTTGAGGCAAGCAGAAGCCAGTCACCGTGCGCTTCGGATAAGCTGCCTCTGTGGCTTGTCGTAAATGATAACGAGCGAATTCTCTGTCCTGAAAGTGGTACCTTGCTGTTCTCTTGTTTGTTTATTCAGCTTTATGATAGTATGGGAGACCTGGTTTTGGACAACCACTTAAAGCCACTGTGCCACTTTCTTAATCTGTAAAATGAGGATTTTACCCATCTTACGTGTGACGGTTGTGTGGAGGCAGAAATAAGATCTAAATGAGATAATGCATAAGAAAATACTTTGTAAACTATAAATAATGACGGTGAAAATTATTTTCATTATTGTTTTTTTCCTCATCTTTGAGGCTAGATTTCTCTTCCTTACATACATTATCTGGTTGATAGATCAATGACAAGTCCTCTTGTCATTTATTCTTACAACAAATAATTGTTGAACATCTATTAAGTAAAAGGCAGTGTGCTAAGTACTAATGATCTAAGATAAACAAATCTTCTCTTTGCCATTTGCAACCTGGCCCTGACAGTGAAAGTAGCTCGACCTGTTTTCTAAAAGCTAAGGCTCCTATGGGTAAGAATAGGTTGGTCATGCTTTCAGATTTTAAGTTTAGCTCTAGTATAATCACCTCAGTCATTAATTACTTTTTAAGTACCATGTTTAGAAATAGTCAGCTGAGAATGTCATTTTAGGTTTGCTGTCCTATTTTGGCTGTTTATATTCTTGACCTCCAAGTGATTCAGCTAGATTATCACTTATTTGCCGTTAGAACAAATTGTTCTATCTTTGGAATAACCCTGTTTTCTTAGGCATAAGTTATTTCTCAGCAGAGGTGACATCTGCGCACACCCACTTAGCCATGCGGCCGCCTAGGTCACTTTTTAACCTGACTCGGAAGGATTGGGCCTCTTTTGCAATTCCAGTCTTTTCTCCGGTTTCCCTTCCTTGACAACACGTAGACCATCAGCTCTGGGCTCTGTGCCCTGGAAAGCCTCCTAAAACATTCTAGAAAGGGCAAGAGTGCCACCTACTGTTATTTTTTTCAGCTATCATAGGCTGGTAAAATTTTCATTTTAAGTTATTAAGACAGATGGTTTATTTAAAGTAGAAAAAAGCCATGTAGACTTGATGGTACTCAAGGCAGCCACCAAATAACTATAAACTATACCTTTCTATCCATCCACCCAAACACACACACACAGACTACTCAAGGCAGCCACCAAATAA